ATCAACTCCACCCGCGCTTCGCAACTCAGTAACTCCACCTCAATCACAGCGATTTCCACCAGGTTACTTGACTATCAATTTCAATTTCCAGCCCTAACTTCTTCATTAAGGTTTTAGGTTACTTGACTATCAATTTCAATTTCAATTTCCAGCCCTAACTTCTTCATTAAGGTTTTAGGTTACTTATTCTAAGAAGTCTTTCATATTACCGACTACAGTTTAGTTTGAATTGAGGATATTTGTCGTTCCGAGTTTGAGGTGGAAGACGACGATGAGGACGATAAGGATGTAGCAGGAAACCGGAGGCGAAAGAGGAAGAAGTTTGATCCGTTCCGAGATCTACATGATAAGTATGCAAATAGTTTTGATTATGTTACTAACCCTTGTAAATTATTAGGCATGAGAATGGACCATGACGGGTCAGGGAACCCAGTCTACCCGCCTCAGTCGGCGACGATGATTCTCCGCTAAACCGGGGATAAGGACAGAGATGGGAATCCCGTTTGTCTCAAACCGGGGGATATGGAAGGCGCATTGTATCCGTGATATATATAATTAATAAATTAAATATATATTATTTATTTCAATGAAATTGGTAATTCATAGTTTACTATTTACTACTTAGATTTAGAATCTAAAAATGTTATTTTTTTTAATGTTAATATACAATATTTTGGATATCAAGTCAAAATACAATTACTTAATATGTTTAGATGTTATTCGATATGTTTTGATACGTGTAACATTAAGATTTTCTAGATCAAGTTGAATTTCTTTTAATTTTAAGTTATTAATTATTATATGATATCGTGATTTTTTGTATTAAATTTAAACTTTTCCATTTTAGTTTATTGGAAATATGCAAGACTTAAATATGTGTGGTATCTCTTATATTTGATTTAAAATAACTTAGTCAGGCAGTGAAAAATCTTCGTCTCCCCGTTTCTTGTTGCCGTTGAGGCCAAGGATGGGGACGTGATAATATTCCTCGGCAGGGACGGGGATGGAAACGGATATGAGGGATCAGGGACTGGGACAGGTTTCTTGTCCAATCCCCGCCCATTCTCATGCCTGTAGATTGTGTTTTGATTAGAACCGTTGATTTCTCAAGCAACTGTGGGATTTCCCATCGAGATTCTTTGATTGTTATATCGGGTTTATCGACAGATTAGGTATATACTTTGTGTAGGGGTTTTAGTTTGAATGTTTGATTACTTGCGAAATTGGCCAAATTTGGGGAGAAATTGAAGCCTCGAGATATTTGGTTGTTTTGATCCATTCCCAATGCTTGATGAAGTAAGAAGAGACTGTTTTGTGATGATTTTGTATTTTCTTGTGATGAAATCAAAATTGTTCATCTTTTTAGCAGAACTTAAAATTTGAAAACATTCAATAGATTTGTGGTTTATTGTTTTTCAAAATTATGTTTGATTTAATGGGGTGAAATAACATGTATGCGAAAATTGTGTTTGGTTTCATGTGATGAAATAACACACACATATATGTTTGAGTTACAATAAGGTTGAGAATTAATCCTGATTCCCGAAGGCGTTCTTTCTCATCCGAATAACCTTCAAATATAGAGGGGAGTTTGTTTTATTTTTTCCCCGAATGGTGTTCTTTTTCCTACATCACCTTCCAAGTTGAGGTTTTGTATTAGAATTGTTTTTCTCTAAATGGTATTTCATTTTGCAACGGTTTTTTCTTCTTATTTGCCTTCTATTTTGCGAGCTCTAGAGTCGGTTAATGTTCATGCAATTTCTGAATCTTGAAATGTGTTTTTTTTTCCAACGTCTGAAACTATAACATCACCAATTTGCATCAAATATCTGTTTTTTAACAACTCATGATGTTTTAATCTATGTACTCACGAATATTTCTCCCTTAAAGGGTGCCCTATATCCTATTCCTCACACAACAGGGAAATGGCCACCCATGGTGTTCGGTGGCAATTTTATTCATGATTGGGACTTAAACCCATACCAAATACAAGTACTAAACATATCTCTAGCACCAAAGTAGCAACAATAAGACGAAATATAGACCACTATATCACTATGCGTGTTCAACCCTTCGCAATTTTCGAAAGAACACCACCACCTTTACGTACACCCAATCCTTCCAGAAATCAACAAAGGGAAAAAAAGCATGTCTCCCACGACGATTGACAAGTAAAGCGCCACATGCTATCCAAAATCCAGTACCAAAACCAATGCCCCCACCAATATAAAACCATCTCTCAAGTTCATCTATGCCTTCCTCACCATTCTCATTTTTACTTGCAACAGGTGGTACTACATCTCCAGGACAATTTTTTGTAAGAGGAGGTCCACATAGTCCTGCATTTCCTGTGAACTTTGAAGGTTCAAAGGACTGGAGTTGAGTGCTAGATGGAATTCTCCCTGACAAATTGTTATGCGACATATCTAGGTAATTTAATGAAGCCATTTGAGACATGCTTGATGGTATTGCTCCTGAAAAATTGTTTCTAGATAAATCCAGAGTTAAAAGATTTTTCATCTCGCCAATTTTTATTGGAAGCTCTCCAAGTAGAGTGTTCTTCGACAAATTCAGTGCAAGCAGTTCATGAAGATCGACCAATTCATTTGGGATTTTTCCYGTTAAGTTGTTGCTTGACAAATCAATGCTCGCTAACAATCCCAGATTGYTGGTGAATTCGCGTTCAATTCCTTGCCACTGAATCATCCCGTTGTCAACATAGTTAAAGAAAATGTCAAGTAAAGTAGCATTAGCTTTGTAAGCCAATGGCTGGCGTATGTTYCGGCTTTGCAAATATCTTCCYTGAACAATGGCASTCAAATTRTTAATGCATGATGGGATGGTTCCATTGAGGTTGTTCCTTGACAAGTCTAGGATCTGAAGGTTCACAAGATGACATAGTTGTAAAGGAATGGGTCCGAAGAAGTTGTTTGATCTGAGGATAAGAGCATACAATCGTGTTAAGTTTTCCCCAATCCAATCTGGCACATTACCAAAAAACTTGTTGGCTCCCAAATACATAAAATTTAGATTTGTGCAGTTCTTCAAAGCCAAAGGCAATTCTCCTGAGAAGTTATTGTTGTATAAGTGCAACACCTCAAGTTGAACCAAATATCCTATAGAAGCAGGAATCCTTCCAGAAAGACTGTTTTGTCCTAGATTGAGAACTTTCAGTTGTTTGAAATGCCACAAACAGTCAGGAAGTTGCCCAGTTAAAGAGTTGTGGGAGAGGTCAAGAAATGATAAGAACCCGTCAACAATTTGGCATAAGAAGGAKATTCCACCATAGAATTTGTTTTTGGAAAGATTCAACGATASCAAAGTGGGAGGAACATTCGGTATTGGCCCATAGAAGYTGTTGGAACTCAAGTCTATTGTTGCATAGAGGTCAAAATTCGATGATAAATCTAGTACTCTCCCACTGATGTTGTTGGAAGAGAGATTCAGATTAGTCAATCGTGAAGGCCATGTCTTCCAAAACTCCGCAGGAATCGTGTCTGAAATTCTAGCATTGGCGACATTAAGAATGGTAAGTTTTTTGTAGGTTTGAAGCCATTTGGGGAAGAGAGGCCCTACCTTGCAACCGCTTAAATAAATACGCTCGGTGTAGGAATGGACTAATATATGATCTTTGGAAGGAACCACTTGAAGCGAGTTGTTTGAAAGATCTGTATACCCAAGCTTCGACTTTTCAATGTTTTGAGAGATAGYAAGAGAATTGGAAGAAACATCTAGAACTTGAAGATTGGGTAGTTCCCACACTTTTCCACTCATAGTCCCGTTTAAGTGATTATTAGATAGGATCAGATTTTGTAGGTATGAAAACTTTTGTATCTCATCGGACAATGGCCCTGCAAGCTGGTTATACGATGCATCCAACACTTGCAATGTAACCGTTGTGCATCCAGACAAATTGTTTAGAAAATCAGCAAATGTGACGACTACAGGATTTTTGTAGAGATTTAAGTATGTCAAAYTACAAAGATTTCCAAGATATTTGGGTATCTCATCTAACATGTTGTTAGAGAGGTCAAGAAAGAGAAGTTTATTGCTTGTTAATGGGAACAACCAGCGATACATAGATGAGTTGAGATTGTTACTTCCGAGTCCAAGAAATCCAATAGATGAAGAAGAAGCATTGACAAATGATGAACACGGATACACGACCTCTGAAAGGTTACATCTCTGTAAACTTAAACTTGTTAGTTTCGGGAGACTTAGAATGATATCTACCCAGTGATTTGCTTTGGCTAGGGAAATCTCATCCATATGAAGGTATTCCAAACGAGAAAGATTAGACAACCAATCTAGGTTTTCAACGCTACATCTTGCAAGTTGTTCAAGTGAAAGATATTGCAAGTTTGTGAGTTTCCCAAGTTCTGGAGGAATAGTTCCATGAAGTGAGTTGTCTGAAAGGCCAAGGTACCTTAATTTGGTCAAGGAACCGATGGACGTGGGAATGGTTCCATTAAAAGAATTGAGAGAAAGGTCAAGGTACGATAACCGAGTCATGGAACCAATGGAGTTGGGAATGGTTCCATGAAAAGARTTGTAAAAAAGATTAAGGTACGATAATCRAGTCATGGAACCAATGAAATTAAGAATAGGTCCATGAAAAGAGTTGGAGGAAAGGTCAAGATGATTCAAGTAGCTTAAGTTAAGCAATGAAGGGCTGACCTCACCTCCAAGACCTCGAAGACCTGTTAAAGGATTGGATGACAGGTCGATCTTTGTTACATGACGTGTCTGGTTGTTGCAGGTGACTCCACTCCATTTACAGCAATCATCGTCTTCGAGTCTCCATGTAGAGAGTTGGCCAAGGGGGTCTTGCAGGGAAGCTTTGAAATGAAGAAGAGCTTGTTTCTCCTTATGGAAGCACTTGATGACAGCATCTCCGCCACCTTCTGCAACTGCTACCAACTGGTTGCCAAGAGAAGCGGCAACACTTATAGCGTTTGGGCGTAGCAAGAGAAGAATAATAAAGTAAAACCAAATCATAGCTTAGTTTATCAAAATATAAATGGTGGTTTAATTTCTGTAATGAGATGGTTATTTGCATGCACCAAACAAGGTTTATATAATGGAGATTTCCATGCTACTAATAAATGGACCAAACTAAGCCAACATGACATAACGTGACATATGCCATGAGTTTGACTTCAAGTCTTAGAATGATAATTACAGATGATGGAATAAACCGACCCATATCATAATGAATATGGACCATATATTTAATTAAATAATATCTTAAATACTTAATTTTAGAACTAAATAAATAAGGACATAAATGTAATTTGGTTATATATAAGTTATTTAAGGGGCCGTTTACCAAACGCTTACTCGGGTAAGTGAACATGAAGTTACATTACTTTACGGGATGAATATGGTAATGATCAAAAATCTTACCGGGTAAGTGAGAGACAAGAAACAAGAGTCTTACCTGGTAAGTGAGAGCGACTACTCTTACCACGGTAAGCGCTTACGGAGTAAATTATTGCATATGATATTGTTTTGGTGGACTAAAATCTTATCCGGTAAGTAAATAATAGTGTTAAATTTTACAAGTAAGCACTTACCGGATAAATGTTTGGTAAACGACCCCTAAGACATTTATTTAAGATTTTACTTTTACCATATTTATGATTCTATATAGTTAAAATTTTATTTAAAAAAATTATATTTAATACAATTAAAATAAGCATATTTAACTTTCATCTAAAGAATTCATTTTTTATTTAAAAATAATTACAATTTTCGTTAAATCTCATGTGATTCACAATTAATTATTATTTTTAAATGTTTTTCTAATCATATGTGATTTAAAGTTTGAAAAAACAATTATTCAAATTAAACATTAAAAAAAGAAAGATAATGAAAACAAAATCACATGTGATGTGTAGTGTAGCAAAAACACATTTAAAATCTATAAAATCACATGGAGAAAACGTAATTCGTAATTTATACATAATCATATATAATGTTGTAGATAATCAGTATCATATATAATTTTCCACTGTAATTGATATCACATATAATACATTGGCGAAAATTAGTGATTCTTTTTTTGAAAAAAAATTCTATTAATTGTAGGTATCACATATGATTTTTGATGAAAATTATAAAAAATCCTTAAATAAACTAATTCAATAAAAATAAATATTTTAAATGAACAGTTAAATCACACTTATTTTAAATGTTATAGAAAATAAAAAATGAAAAAAATGAAATTTTATTCATGTTTAAATCACAAAAATTATAAAAAAAAATCATGAATAAAGACTTAGTTAAATGCATTAAATGATCTTTATAGAAATAAATGAATTTTCATATATTATTTATATACAACAAATGACACATATATCCTTTTAAATGATTTTTAAAAAAGTTTTATTTAAAACATTATTCAAATAAATTACCGGTGAAGCTTTGAGGAGGAGTGAAGTGACGTGATGATGGATCGATGGGGACATGAGTGGAACCCCATATACAGAAAAAGAAACGCGTAGCAAACACTTCGAGGGTTTGTCATTCGTGGTCAGCGTATGAAAAAAAGAAAAAGAAAACCTAAACAAGGGTAATTTAGTAATTTAGGGGTTGTTAAAACATCAAAAAGATATTGAAATTAAAGATTAAAACGGAAAAAAAATAATATTTTATTAAATATTTTAATAATATAATAAATGTTAAATTGTCTAAAATAGAATAGTTTAGAAATAAATATTTTAGTGAATGTATGTTAATTTTTTTAAAGAAAAAATATAACACAGCTGTTAGAGTTGCTCTTAATAAAGTAATATGAATTTTTTTTTGGTCAAGTCGTGTTAGAAGGGTTGGGCTCACAAGGAGAACGGTCAACAGAGGCCCGATACATTAAAAGAAGAAAGAAAAAAAAGGACCAACACACTATTTTGTGGATGCTTTTTCTATATGTACAGTGTCTTATTCGATATTTATCTTCGTTGAATTGACAACTCATTTGATTGTTGAAATGATGGTTTGTCAATTGAATTTTAAAACACGTAATTGGTTGGGGATTTCAATCTAGCTGGTGAAATAACACGTTTGATTTCACACTACAACAAAATTGGCTTTACAGGACACCTCCAATCTCTAAGCGTCCCAATAGACTGCTTTATAGGACCAAAATACAAAGCGTCATATCTAAAGGTGTTGTAATAAGTTTATATGACGCTTTTGGGCGTTTTAACAAGTTTTTTAAGACAAAAGTGTCCCATTAATAACTTTATAGGACACTTTTGAAAAAGTGTCCTATAAACTCAATTTTTTATAGGACTATTGTTTTTATAAAACAATTTTTCAAATAGTGTCCTATAAAGTTGCTAATAGAACGCTTTATATTAAAAGTATCCTAAAAAACTTATTACGACGTCAAAAAACATCATATAAACTTATTACAACGCCTTTATATAAGACGCTTTATTTTTTTGGTCCTACAAACTAAGTTTTATAAAGAGGTCTATTAAGACGCTTAGAAATTGGAAATGTCCTATAAACCCGATTTTATTGTAGTGTCAATTAGGTTATTAAAACTATGTTACCTAATTGAAATAAAACGAGCTTATATGTTTACTAACTGGAATTGATGTTTTATTGTTTTTAATACTAATCTCTAATAGATGCTAAAAATTTGTTTAGATTTATTTGATTAAAATTTTAATTAAAGAGCTTCTTTTAATTATTTTATTAATTACAGAATATACATTCAACTGCCAATTAAAAGTGCATTGTACACAACACGTTATTATGTATATAAATGAAAAACGAGATACAAAAAGAAACATGGTTGAAGAAGACTTGGACAAATAACTCATCATTATCGTAGTAATATGGTTTTTCTTATGAAAATTGTATCAAAATGGAATCAACATTGTCTCACTTAAGTTTCTATTTTGGGGAATTAACTTTTTAAATTATCATTTTAGGTTCGCAAATAAACATTTTATTTATTTAAAGGTCTTGATTACCTCTTCAAATAAGTAGACAACACGTAACCAGTTGCTTTTAGATGATGTGGCAAAAAAAAAAAAAAAAAAAAGTTTACGTAGATACTTAAAAAGCCACGCTATATATTTAGAATTACGTGTCATTATTAAGTCAAAAAAAAAAAAAAAACAGATATAAAAATAGCCCTGCCACGTATTAGGATTCCATATCATGAATATGAAGTATTAAATAACCCTCTTCCGTCCCAGTAGTCAAGAGAGTGAAAACACTTATTAACGCTATATTTGACAAACTAGCTAATGAACGTTTAATAAAACTAGATGATATGCTAGTTGAAAAATGATTAAAAAAAGAACATGCTAACTAGATGATATTGTTTTAGTACCATAGGGAGCTACGAACTAACAGATCCATAGCGACAACGGTCGTCGCAAAGACATAGCGACGGAATTTGGATCTTTAGCGGCGACTTTTATCATTGCAACAGGCTAGATTCGTTGAAGTGTGTTGATTAGTTTGGAGAAAAAATGAGCCATTTTTACACAATTTTTATCATCTTTTTACACTGTTTTGGAACTGTGTAAAAAGGTCGGATACTTTCTTACACAGTGGGCTTTTACATGGTTCTGAAATTCCCAATCAACCACGCATCCATATAGCATTCATTATATTAGCAGCGAACGAATCCCAAGTTTTCGACCTCCAATCGTCGAATCGAGGTACCATTTTCATACCTAATTTACAGTCACCTATTGATTAGTGTCGTTTTGTAAGTGAATTGGCAGAGTGAGGGGTTAAAATCGCAGACTAATGGCTGCCAGATCGGGCAACCATGCCAACAGTGGGTAGAACACCACTGCTGTGTTGTGCTAATTAGGCCTCAAATGCAACCCATATTCTTACATATGATTTTACAATCGAACACAAACGAGATTTGTGAAGGAACCGAACAGTTGTTAGCTTCGATGGCGATGAGATCAAAAATTGATGGTACAAACTCAGATCCACCAAGATATATGTTTAGGACTTGGAACAACAAGAAATTAGATATTGAATATGAAAGAACCTTGGTGTGAAGTTTGTTAATGGCAGCAAATGGGACGAGTGAAGGTGGAAGGGTCAAGATCTTGGCCCTAGGCTTACCTAAACCCATTTCAAACTTTTACAAGTGGATTTTATAGGAAATATCATTTGTATGTGTGTTGATTATGCTATTGCTATCCAATAGTAATCTTGCTGGATTCAACTTCTCTCCCATCACTAATATCCAATAGATATTGCAATGGCTGATACTCCAGACGTAAAACACCTACCAAATACAAATATATACTTATCTCCAACACCAAAATAACAAGAAGAACTAAGTAGTTGAAAACAACGTAAATATAATCCGAAACAACAAGTTAAACAGAAGAACGAAATACAGACCACTATTTATGTGCAAGCCTCTCCAATATTTGAACCAACACCACCATCTTGAAATGTGTTTTTTTCAACGTCTGAAACTATAACATCACCTAGTTCAGTTGCATCAAATATCTGGTTTTTAACAACTCATGATGTTTTAATCTATGTACCCATGAATATTTCTCCCTTGAAGGGTGCCCTATATCCTATTCCTCACACAACAGGGAAATGGCCACCCATGGTGTTTGGTGGCAATTTTATTCATCATTGGGACTTAAACCCATACCAAATACAAGTACTAAACATATCTCTAGCACAAAGTAACAACAATAATCAGATGGAAACAAAATCAGAAGAAGAACGAAATATAGACCACTATATCACTATGCATGTTCAACCCTTTGCAATTTTCGAAAGAACACCACCACCTTCACGTACACCCAATCCTTCCAGAAATCAACAAAGGGAAAAAAAGCATGTCGCCCACGACGATTGACAAGTAAAACGCCACATGCTATCCAAAATCCAGTACCAAAACCAATGCTCGCACCAATATAAAACCATCTCTCAAGTTCATCTTTGCCTTCCTCACCATTCTCATTTTTACTTGCAACAGGTCGTACTACCTCTCCGGGACAATTTTTGGTAAGAGGAGGTCCACATAATCCTGCATTTCCGACGTACCTTGAAGGTTCAAAGGACTGGAGTTGAGTGCTAGATGGAATTCTCCCCGACAAGCTATTATGCGACATGTCTAGGTAATTTAATGAAGTCATCTGAGACATGGTATCTCTCCTGAAAAACTATTTCTAGATAAATCCAAAGTTAAAAGTTTTTTCATCTCACCAATTTTTGTTGGAATCTCTCCAAGTAGAGCATTCTTTGACAAGTCTAGTGCAAGCAATTCATGAAGATCAGTTAACTCATTTGGAATTTGCCCTTCTAAATTGTTGCTTGACAAATCAATACTCGTTAATAATCCCAGATTATTGGTGAATTCATGTTCATTTCCTTGCCACTTGATCATCGCGTTGTCATCATAACTTCTAAACATATCATAACGACCTATTTTGTACCAATGTATGTTCTGTCTCGGCAAGGACATTCCATGAACCATGACATTCAAATTATTGACACATGTTGGGATGGTTCCATTGAGGTTGTTGATTGACAAGTCTAAGATTTGAAGGTTCTGGAGATGACATAGTTGTAAAGGAATGGGTCCGAAGAAGTTGTTTGATCTTACGCTGATAGCATACAAGTTTGTTAAGTTTTCCCCCGATCCAAACAGGCACATTACCAAAAAAATTGTTGGCCCCTAAATTCAGCTAATTTAACTTGGTGCAATTCTTCAAAGCCGAAGGCAATTCTCCCGATAAGCTATTGTTGTATAAATGCAATACCATGAGTTGAACCAAATGTCCTATAGAAGCAGGAATCTTTCCAGAAAGATTGTTGTGTCCTAGATTAAGAACTTCTAGTTCTTTGAAATGCGACAAACAATCAGGAAGTTGTCCCGTTAAAAAGTTCTGAGAGAGGTCAAGAAATGATAAGAACCCGTCAACAACTTGGCATAAGAAGGAGATTCCACCATAGAATATGTTTTTGGAAAGATTTAAGAGTATCAAAGTGGGTGGAACATTCTGAATTGGCCCATGTAAGTTATTGGAACTTAAATCTATTTCTGAATAGAGGCCAAAATTTGATGATAAATCAGATACTTCCCCACTGATGTTGTTGGAAGAGAGATTCAAATATGTCAATCGTGAAGGCCATGTCTTCCAAAACTCCGCAGGAATTGTGTCTGAAATTCTAGTATTAGCGATGTTAAGAGTGGTAAGGTTTTTGTGTGCTTGGATCCATTTGGGAAAGACGGGCCCTAGCTTGCAATTTCTCAAGTCCATATACTCTACATAAGATATGTTCAACACGTGACCTTGAGAAGGAATCACTTCAAGTGGGTTGTTCGAAAGATCTAAATGCCAAAGCTTTGAATTCCCAATGTTTTCAGATGTAACACCTCTAAGAGAATTGGAAGAAATGTCTAGATATTCAAGCTTGTGTAGTTCCCACACTTTCTCGCTTATAGTTCCATTTAATTGATTATAAGGAAGCTTTAAACGTTTTAGGGATGAGAACTTTTGAATCTCATCAGACAATGACCCTGTAAATTGGTTACCCGAAGCATACAACTCTTGCAATGTAACCGATGTGCATCCAGACAAATTGTTTAGGAAATCAGGAAAGTTGACGACTGCTGAATTTCCATGGAGATTTAAAGATGTCAAACTACAGAGATTACCATGATATTTGGGTACCCCATCTAACATGTTGTAAGAGAGATCAAGAGAGACAAGTCTATTGCTTGTCAATGCGAACAACCAACGATACATGGAGGAGTTGAGACTGTTTTGTGTGAGTTGAAGAGATCCAATAGATGAAGATGAAGAGTTGACAAATGAAGAATATGGATATATGACCTCTGAGAGGTCACATCTCGACAAACTTAAATATGATAGTTTTGGGAGACTTAGAATGACATCTACCCAACGATTTGCTTTAGCTAGGGAAACACCATACATATCAAGGTGTTGCAAATGAGAAAGATTAGACAACCAATCTAGGTTTTCAACCATCGTACCTATTGCATAATAGGCTCCACGTCCAAGTGAAAGATTTCTTAAGTTTGTGAGGTTTCCAATTTCCGGAGGAATGTTTCCTATAAGGAAGTTATAGGAAAGGTCGAGGTACCTTAGTTCGATCAAGGAACCAATGGACTTGGGAATGGTTCCATTAAAAGAATTGGAACCAAGGTTAAGGTACGTTAATCGAGTCATGGAAGCAATGAAGTTGGGAATGGTTCCATTGAAAGAATTTCAATTTCTGGAAAGGTCAAGAGGATTCAAGTAGGTTAAGTGAAGCAATGAAGGGCTAACCTCACCTCCAAGACCTTTAAAAGGATTGGACGACAGGTGGAGCTTTGTGACATGACCTGTATGGTTGTTGCAGGTGATTCCACTCCATTGACAGCAATCATCATCTTCTGCAGGTCTCCATGTAGAGAGTTGGCCAAGGGGGTCTTGAAGGGAAGCTTTGAAATGAAGAAGAGCTTGTTTCTCCATGTGAAAACATGACTTGTTGATGCCGCCATAATTACCATCAGTTGCTGTTGCTGCTGCCAATTGGTTGCCAATAGAAGAACAAGTGGCAAGAATTGGAGTGTTTGGGCATAGCAAGAGCATAATAATAATGATAAAGTAAAACCAAATCATGGCTTAAATTTATCAAAATTTCAACAATAAGATGGTTGTTTGCAGTCATTAACCAATGAAGGTTATATATGTGTATATATGTATAACAGTTGCGTGTTTGAAGGCTTCCAAGCTACTTTAATTACAAGTAGTTGTAGATATATGTGTTGGTCAATTTGTAATAAATTCCATCCTACTAATAAATGGACCCAAATAAGCCACATATATTCATGGAGCCAACACCGTACATACTACATAATAGCGTTGCATGATCAATTAATGATCTTACACCAAATAAAACAAACCAACAAATATGATTTTGGAATTCAGCTTTACGACTTGTAGATATACTAGAAGGATATTCGCACAATGTAACGAGATACATTTTGATTTTAATATTTTATTTTTATTTTTTATCTCAGTCGATGTTATAATATGGTCTTATGTGATTTTGAGAAAGCGATAATGTTTTTATTTTTGAATAAAATATTAGTTTGAAACTGTCATAAAAATTTGACAAAAATATATCAATATTAGTATCAAATTAACTATTTAAAATTCCTCATTTTTGTGTAATTTTTAATTCATTTTTTTATAATTTAATTTGGGTACAATAACGAAGTATTTATATTTGGTTTGATAATATAATTTTCTTATAAAGATAATAATTATTTATTTTGTTAGAACTCGATAATTATTCTAATTATATTTTAGATTGTTTATATTTTAAAGAGAAATATTTATCCTCTGTTTGATTATATTTATCCTCAGTTAGTTATACGAATTTAAACATCGAGCTTTAATAAGTTGTATTTATGCATAATTTACTTGTAATCTTGATTTTTAAGTAATATGCATCAATATACAGTAATTTATGCATAACAAAAATATATCGATATTCGTATCAAATTAACTATTTAAAATTCCTCATGTTTTGTGTAATTTTTTAATTCAATTTTTATTATAATTTAATTTAGGTACAATAACGAAGTAATTTATATTTGGTTTAATAATATAATTTTTTTATAAAGAAAATCATTAATTATTTTGTTAGAACTCGATAATTATTCTAATTATATTTTAGATTTTTTATATTTTAAAATAAGATGTTTATTCTCTATTACGCAATTAATTATACGAATTCAAATATCGAGCTTTAATAAGTTGTACTTTTGCATAATAGACTAGTAATCTTGAATTTTAAGTAAGCATTGGTTTGTATGGTTTTGAGAAAGTGATAATGTTTTTATTTTTAAATAAAATATAAATTAAAAAATATTATAAAATTTTGAAAAAAAATATCGATATCAACATTAACTTAATCTTTCTAAAAGTTCTTGTGTTTTGGTGTAATTTCCTTAATTAAATTTTTTTCAATTATAATTTAATTTATGTTTAGTAACAAAAAAATTTAATTTAAGTTTAATAATATAATTTTTTATAAATATAATAACTAAGTATTCTGTTAGTTGTCAATGATGATTCTAATTATATTTTATATTTTTTATATTTAAAATGAGATRTTTATCCAATATTTGATTATGTTTATCTGCAGTTAATTAGACGAATTCAAGTGTGAAGCTTTAATAAGTTGTACTTATGCACAATTTACATATAATCTTAAATTTTAAGTAATATGCATCAATAAACAATATTTCGTATATAAAAAATTGTTTTTAATAGTTTTTGTCAAATGCTTTATAATATAATATAGATGTTTGGGTCAATTAATGATTTTCCAAACCACCTATATTACTATTGTGTCAATGGTCTTCTTTATTTATTAAACAACTAGAAGCGTCCTCGCGCAAAAGTAGCGAGATATATCGTGATTTTGATATTTCATTTTATTCTTTATCTCAGTCGATGTTATAATATAACTTTATGTGATTTTGAGAAAGCGATGATATTTTTATTTTTTAATAAAATATATGTTTGAAGATATCATAAGAATTTGACAAAAATATATCGATATTAGTATCAAATTAACTATTTGAAATTTCTCATTTTTTTGTGTAATTTTTTAATTCATTTTTTTTATAATTTAATTTATGTACAATAACGAAATAATTTATATTTGGTTTAGTAATATAATTTTTTTTATAAAGATAATAATTTTTTTTTTATTGGAACTTGATAATTATTCTAAAATTATATTTTATATTTTTTATATTTTAAAATGAGATGTTCATCATCTATTTGATTATGTTTATTTGCAGTTATTTATACGAATTCAAACATCGAGCTTTAATAAGTTATACTTATGCATAATTACTTGTAATCTTGAATTTTAAGTAATAAACATCAATATACAGTACTTGATGCATAACAAAAATATATCGATATTCGTATCAAATTAACTACTAAAATTCCTCATTTTTTGTGTAATTTTTTAATTCAATTTTTTATTATAATTTAAT